AAGTTACCTGAGTCTGAAAATACTAAGTGTGAAACCCAAGAAATAAACAACTTTTCAGTTTTAAATCGCTACATTGTCCTGAGTTGCATAAAGTCTTATGCTATTTTCTTCTCATTCCTACTCTACACATGAACCATTTCTTTCTCCAGGGTATCCATTTTGTATATACCACCTTCCCAATGATACTTGGTAGCCATCTCAGTGCTGATACTGACCAGTGTGGTGTGGCAAGGCTTGAGGTCAAGTAATCCTTGCTTTACCCAACACAGACCCAAAGAGTGGCAGGAGCCGTGGAAAGAAGGGGTCTGGGCACAAATCTTGGAAGGACAGACTGACTCCTGGACTATGTGTGATGCTGCAGGACATATAGGGAAATGCACAATCTAAAGATCAATGATAGGTAGATGATAGATAGATACATACATACATACACACATGCATATATACATACATACATACATACAGAATAGATGATTGGTAAGTATTTGATACATAAGTAGATAGATGATGGATGGATGAATTGATAGATGATAGATGATAGGTAGATGACTGATAAATATTTAATATCTATGATGATGAATGGTAGATGATGGATGGATAGATAGATGATAGATTGATAAGTGATTGATAGATATTTGATGTTTGGAAGATGGATTGATATATAGATACATACATATGTATACAATTGCTAGATATTTGGTAAGAAGGTAGATAGATGATGTATGGTTAGAGAAATACATAGATAGATAAATAGACAGATAATCAATAGATATTTGATAGGTAGATGACAAATGGATTGATGGATAGATAGGTAATAGATGGATGGATAGATACATAGATGATTGGTAGAAAGACAGAGTGACAGACAGAGAGATAGTATGGTACTACTTGGTTTAAGGCCTCTACTAGGAGCCTTGGAACTCATTTCCATGCGTAAGAAGGGATACCTATACTAGAAATGGAAAGGAAAGGAAAATCTGGAATAAATGCCTTTCTGACAAGTTCACCCTCTTCATATCAGCAAGATGTCTCAATGTGCAGAGACACAAAAGAGTCATTCATTTATTTCAGAGCCACTCTTACCCCAAGCTCCATCTTCAGATACATTTTTATTAAAGTTGGTATGTGAGTAGAAGTGCAAATATACTTATATGTTCTATTTTTATGTCCCTGAAAAGGGAAGGAGAAAAAGGAAGAGTTCCATTCATGTGTCATACTCCGAGACTTATGGTAGTTTGCTAATTATAAGTTCTATTGTCTTGGTCTCAAAAGGAATTCAAGAGCTGAACCAAGTATAGTAAGGTCTCTTCGACCCCCATGATTATGCAGCTGCAAACTTGGTAGCTGAAATGTCAGCCTGCCTTCGTATTTTTGCAGGCCAAAAGGCCAGGCAAAGTCAAGTCAAATTGTTTCTTGTTTGGTACAAAAAAATTGCAAAAAAATCTAACAATGGGGCTCAAAACTGTATCAGAAACTTTAGTCTCTTCTCTGTCCTCCCGACACGTGGTTGAACTCCCGACCAAGAGCTACATGTTTGCCACAGGTGATGGGCACTTGTTCCTACAGGAGTCAGATGCAAGGAGCCCAAATTCTCTTCTGAGCCATGAAAAGCATCTTTTCTTTTTTTTTTTTCCTGCTCAGTCAGTGACAGAGATGGAGGACACACAGCTGTGGACATGGCTTGACGCAGAGCAGAGAAAGAAGGAGTAGGGAAATTCTGTAGCTCAGCCATTTTCTTTGGCTCCCCTCACATCAAATGGGCTGGCTGCAGGGCATGTGAAAAGGAAAATCTGTGGTCTAGACTGAGGAGATGCTTGGTCATGGGTCACACTGTCATCTTGTTTCCTATATCTTTGGAGTCATTTGTGAGTAGGTCTATTAGGCCCACAAATATGAATATACTTAAAGGCTTTTAACCTAGGTGTGGGTCACAATGGTGAGGTAATGGACTATAATAATAGTAAATGAATTAAATGATTCTTTTTTATATTGTCTCCATTGATATTTGTTATTATTTTTGATTGTCGTCCCTCTGATCTGTATCATTTCTGCTTTTATTTGGATTTCTTCAATAGCAATGAGGATTGTAAAAAACATGACATATTGCTTGCTGTGTGAGAATTAGTACATTTAATTGCTTTAAAAAACTACTTGGATGTCACACGGGGACGATGTATGAGTTCATCAATGCCTAGTGTGCTCACGGTCACACAGAAGTTATTCCTGCCCCTGCCCTCTGTCTCTGCCTCTCTAAATTACCTCCTAGATCCAGACTTCTCAAATGAATTGTCCATTCGAGTTCTTTCTGCACCAAGTGTTCTATAAGCTCCCTTTATTTTTACAGTACTCATATTCAGAGTCCCTAAGACCTGATCTCTGGGAATCAGGTGTTGAATTCGATTAATAAACAAAGATCTGTTAAACTCAGTCCTTCCTACAAATGTTCAAGCAGCCAAATGGGAAGCATGCTCAAAATAAATGCTGGGTTTTTTTCCCCATAAATTACTCATACTAGAGTGTTGTGGATAGTCCAATTTCTCCCTTAAATCTCTCACCCAGCTCGTGTTTTCTCAAGACATTTTAACTTTTCTGTTAATCTTAAATATGTTAAATTCTAGCCAAGAATAACTAGCTAGCTTCCTGTGGTAACAATTGCTCCTATGAACCAATAGTCAGAACAGAAGTTGCTAGAAGTTGAATATTGAGGGTGTACAGCCATATTTGGTCACTGTCTGTCTGGTTTCTGGGCATTATTTTTCTTTGCTGGCTGGAAATTATGTTCTGCCTTGAGAGAATATATAGATGGAACTGCCTGTTAAATCACTCTGTCATCTTTAAAACCAAAATAATTCCTTCTATCCGAAAGGCTATAACAAACATATTGTTTCTCAATTGGATAAACATTGGCAACCTAAATCTCTATACTCTTTCATGAAAACAAGGAAATTTGAAATCTATCTCAAGACCTCACGACAGAAAGCAGCTGCAGAAGAAATATCCTAAACAGTCCCAATTTTGGAGTTTAAAAGTCAAAAAGGGGGAGCCAGGCTCTGGTGGCTCACACCTGTAATCCTAGCTACTCAGGAGTCTGAGATTGGAGCATGGAGGTTCAAAGCCAGCCTGGACTTTGTCTAAGTGACTCTTATCTCTGGTTAACAACAACAACACAAAAGCGCCAGAATTGGAGCTGTGGCTCAAGTGGTAAAGTGCTAGCTTTGAGTGAAAAAGCTAAGGGACAGAGAACCCAGGTGCCTAGTTCAAGCACAACACACACACACACACACACACACACACACACACACAGACGTAGAGAAGAGGAAGGAGGAAGTCTTTGAAACCTTCCAAATTTCAGCCATGACACATATCCCCTTGAGAATGCTCTGAGCACCTGTGGACATTCATTCTGTCTCACCCAGCCTTATCTTTATGTGTCCCAGACAAGGCTTTTTTTATTTTTGCATGACTGTGTGGGCTTTGCCCACAGCTATGCCCACTCTCCCTTGTCACACCTGGTCTTCTCTACCAGCTGAGAGACCCAGAGTCTCCCTTTTGGCCTTTGTCTTCTTCCCTTGAACTCACACAACATCAGCAATGGTGCTAAGTACTAAGGATCTCACAAGCAAAAGCCACAGGACCCATGAGAGGCTCCTGGGAAATTGTGATGTCGGAAGGGAGATGCAGGGATGACGTTTGGATTAATGTCCAAAGGCTCATCTTTCTGTCCCTGCTGGATGGTCATCAGATGGGTGGGCATATGGCTGGTACTGTGACCCACCATTCCCAAGTGTAGGCCCACTTAGTCACCACATTCTGACACTGCCCCTTTGCTTGCATTCATAGGAGAGGACACAGGAAAGGTTGGGATCTGTGGAGCTTGGTTGTACCTGAAGCCCGGTCCAGAAAACCAAGCTGCAGGACAGTGGCCGTCCACACTGCTGTCCTTGTGGCTGAAGGAGGACTGGTCCCAACTTCGGTCTCCCATCTGGTCTGCAGGAATCACTCTACTGTCTTGAGCAAATCCCTGATGCCTGTTTCCCCTCAAGTGTAGGAGAGCTGAGGTTACATTATCTCACCTAACAGGAAGATTGTGAAGCCAGAAGGAGAGGCTGTATGTTCAGCTTTTTCAAATTCTACTTCAGGATGTGTGTTCTGCGGATTCCCACCTGTAGAGGAAGGTCCTGTCCTCATTGTTAGTCAGGCTGAAGAAGCTTACTAACCTTTTATCTTTTCCCTCATAGCTTCCTGAACTCGAGTGTGCCACCTAACTAGCTTTCTCCCTCATCTCCAACTTTTATTTCTCTGTGTCTGGCACTCTCCAGGATTCAAGACCGGTCTCCAAGGCCCTCTGCTCTCTACCCTCACCTTCTTCCCCCTGCCCCGTGGAGATGCAGTTGCTTAGCATTCCACACCCTGTGCTTACATGACCTCAGTGTTACTTGCCATCTGTCCCCTGACTAGAAGATTCTTACAGTGGGACCAAATCCAATTCATTTTAATGTAATACTTTCTTTGTGTTATTTGTTTTATAACTATTGGTGGAAATGGTGAGTGTCAGATACAGGCTCTCATGAAACAGAATTGACAAAACTTCCGAGTGAAACCCATACTTTGTCTTTGTCTGTATTATGCTGCTATAACAAAAATCCCAGAGACGGGGTTGTTTATAATGGACAAAAGTATATTGGCTCATCGTTCTGGAGACTGGAAAGTTCAGGACTGCAGCAGTGAACACACCACACTGCTCACCACAGACAGGCGAATAGACGTCTTTTGTTGTATCCTGACTCACCGTCTTGGGGATGAATGTTCCGAGAGTGGACTATGGATGGATGGGTAGTGTCATTTTTTCATAACATTGAGAAAATGCTGAGACAGATAAATCTCCACTTATTTCTGTCATTTTAACTAAAATTCCACATCCCAAGGTATGAGCGTGAGACATTTACTCCTTTTCCATGTGTTTGCTCATCAGCTTTCTCTGTGGCATGGCACCTGGGTTCTGTCTACAAGGCAAGTTCAGCAGACAGCACGATCCTCGATACGCTGCTTTGGTTTGATGATCTGACCTAGAACAGGTAAGGGAAACCTTCAGTACATGTTCAGCCACCAGTGTAAACATGGAATCACGGGCATATTTCCAATCCCAGTTCACTACCAAGAATGGAATGTGCTCTCAAGAGTGAAAATCACAGGTCAGAGATGGCCTTTGCCTTTTTTACTTAAGACAGCTTTCTTCCCTGCCATTCAAATTTCTGAAGATCCACTTCATTTTCTTTGTCATGTAGCAAGCACCAAATCAAGACTGCATCCGTCCTAAAAGACAAGGACAATTCCATGCCCATGTAGTTCTGAAAATAATAATATTTCTGTACAACACCGTGAAAGTCAAATATATTAAACAAGGTGGGTACTCTGGCAATTCCCAAAGCTTATTATCTGCTCAAAAGCATACCACAAATGTGTCAGGCCCTCCCTACGAACACCAGCGGAAATAATGAATTCAAACTAAGAGAAAGCTGAGCACAACATCATCAGAGGCAAAATAACGTCTTGAACACATCGTGATCTCTTAAGATTTTGTGACAATTTCCCTCTTGATATAAAATGACAAAAATATTCCCACATTTGACAAATTGTTCTATCCATCTTCTTGAAGAGTATTTTATGAAATTGTATGCTAAAAATATATAAATAAGAATATATAGGTATGTGCCTTTTATGTCACATTACTTGGATGAGTACTGTGTGTACATTAGATAGATAGATGATAGGTAGACAGATAGATGATAATCTTTTTGTCAGATGATAATTTTACTATATATTTGTATAATACCTGTGCAATATCTGTGTTTATGATATGAGGATGGGTTATCAAAAGATTTACTGATTGCTTTTATTCAGCTTTAAAACATTGCTGAATATAATTCCATTCTTCTTTGTGATTGAGTAATACTCCATAGTGTATGATTTATGTGTGGATATGTATGCATACCTATACATAAATATACATAGACATAATTATATAATCTTGATCCATTCATCGTATGAATGAATCATATGTAGGTCATATTGCCTGATTCTATAGCTTGGTTATTATTTTAAAAAATACAGCAGTGAGCATGGCTGTGCATGTGCCTGTATTACATCCTGACTTAGATTCCCTTGAAGAATGCTCAAGAATGGTATGTTGGGGTAATAGGGTAGTTCTGTTTTTAGTTTTAGGTGTTTGGTTTGTTTTTGTGGGTTTTTTTGTGGACCTCCATACTGATTTCTGTAGTGTTTACAGCACATGGTCTTTCCCCCAGCAGTGTGTAAGGCCTCAACCAGTAGTGTGTAAGGGTCCCTTCCCCCGGCGGACATTACTTGTTGCCCATGCTCTTGATTATGGCTATTCCAACTGGATAGGATGAGCTGAAGTGGATTGAACTAGAAGTCATAGTGTTAAGTGAAGTAAATCAAGTCCAAAGAGACAAAGGTTGTGTGTTTCCTTTCCTATGTGGATGCCAGACTTCAGAGATCACCAGACATGTAGATCCATACAGGAATATGTCCAAGTATAACGTGATTGTAGTGGTGGGACTGTTTGAGGAGGTCAGAGTGAGAGGGAGAATGTTAGGGGGTGAACAGTACTGAAATACCTCACATCTATGAGGGAAGGTGGCAAAATGAAACCCACAGGAGCTGTGGAGGAATAGGGAACAGCGAGGGTGGGAAAATTGAGAGTAATACAAAAGGGGAATCTGATGAAAGTCCTGCTGCACAGGTGTGAAATGGCGTGCTGAAACTCCTCTGGACAAGTAGCATACCCTAACAACACTGCAGAGATAGAACATTAACCAGGTCCCGTCTGCACTGGGGGTTCTAATGGGAGAGGGTGCGGGAGGGAGACCATGGTAAAATGCTTTATGTTCATGTGTGACAATGGACAACAAAGCTTTTGGAGATTGGTTTGGGAACTGGGTTGGAGGGAGAAGGGGAGGGTGAGTCTGATCAAGGTATGTCCCATGCACATGTGGACATGTTGAAATGAACCTACCCTCTTACAGATGATTAACACCGATGTGGAAAAAATGATGTTAGAAAGACAGTAGGCTTATGGAAATAAACCTCTCTATTTAGAAAAGTAGCCCATCAAGATAAACTAAACATTCAAAAGGAAAACTTTATCATGATTCCCCTGCCCATCCTAACTTGGCAAAACCCAAGTCTGCTAAAAGTGGAGCTTGGGAACCACCACTAGCTTTCTACTGAAGACCTAGCTCTGCTGTTTCAAAGTGACCTTGGGGAAGATTTTATACTGCCTGAGAAAGAATGTTATTATTTAATTCTGAAGGAAAGACGAGAGGGAAAGTGAAAGAACAAAAAGAAGGGGAAAAGGAAGCAGGAAGAAAATAGGCCCTGTGTACATCAGCTCACTTTTATTCTGAGTGAGGGATGAAGTAGCTAATGGGTGCTTTTCCAAGGGTTTGCAGACAAATCTCACTCCTGCATTCTGTCCTAAATCTCTAGCTTTACCTCAAATGGTTTAAGGCAGAAACGAACTGGTCACCTGCTTGTCGGATTTATCTTAGTTTTATTTGAGAGGGTATTGGGTTTCCTTTCTACAAATTAATTGATTCACATGATGTTAAAACAAATATTGGTACACAAATTCAGGACAGTTCCCACAGAAGCCGGGATGTGCTGGTTTCTCCTTGTGTCCAGTGTCAGCTGACACAGCTGAGCAGTCCTATACGCTAGTCGTCGAAGGACATGCATCTCTCTACATGTGACACGGCACGTGTTCCCCAGTCCTCTCTGCACGAGGGTCAGCGGGAACGCCACCACTGGGGGCCTCTTCTGAAGAATTCAGTCGCCCTCTCTAAGACTGGAAGCCAGGCTGCAGAATTGTCTACACGTTCCTCAAAGAACCTGCTGTGTAGCCACTGCCCACCTCTCGTGGGTTCTCTGCCTCGCTTGTCAGTGTCCCATCCACATCACGTTCACTCCTTCCCTCTGCCCACCCTTCCGTGAGGCCCTTAATTTACTTCTCACTTCTCTGCTTGTCCATTTCAACCCACACTCCACCCAGAAGCTGGAGCAATTATTTCCATAAAAAGAAATGAGTCAATTCCTGATTTAAAAAAAAACTTCTATATAAAAAATATACATAAATAAAAAGAGAAGGTATACAAATATTCACTGAAAATACATTATCTCTAGGTAGATAATTAGTAGTTAAAGAAATCAAAAAAATGGAACAGAATGTTTTTATGTGCCTAAAAAACCTTCTTTGGAAATAAGAGTGCTAATACTAATAATAATGGGTGATGACCACTGATACATTGGTTGAATTAAAAAAAAAAAAAAAGCCCAGACTTTGTTGAACAATGGATTCATTGCAGCATTAAGTTTTGGGAGCTGATGGAGAAACGGGGAAATGGGTGTAAAAGGAGTTGCTGTAGGTAACAAAGCTGTTTCATTCCATTCTGAGTTCTGGCCTGTTGCCTTGCCTGGAAGGGCCTTCAGCCTGGTCTCCTCTGCTGAGCAGGGATCGTAAGTCACACGTCTTGGTGGCACCATGGTACCAGTTCCCACCCAACCTGTGTTCTGAGCTTCCTTCACTATCAGGAGCAAAAGGATTTCATGGCTCAGCAGTCCTGGAAGGTTCCATTGTACCAAAGGTACTCAAGTATGCCTCCTTTCTACCCGCGTAATTCACCCAGAAAACTAAGTTGCTATGGGTGAATTGTCAGGATGGATGTGTGTGGTTGGAGAGTGTTAGCTAGGGAACTCTCCTACTCCTCAGATGCACAGATGACCTCCATTTGCACAGATGAATCACATCAATCCAGATACTTATTTGAGCTGCAGAAGTGTATGCTGTTTCCTCCTAGTGATGTGTAAATCCTTGCTTTAGCCACTAAAGCCTCTCCTTTATATTCCTGACCATGTTCCTCGGTAGACGCTGTATTTTGCATTGGAAGGGGGGGACAATGAAGATATAAGAAGGTTTCTTCAGAAAAGTCACTCTTGGGCTCTCGGGGATGCTGCTTTAATCAGGACTTATAAAGAAATCAATGAACTCAAACTACATTAAAGCTGGATGGGAATTGGGGTCTGTGTCAACTTCACTATCTCCACACAACACAATCAATTTTTATTTCATATCCTGCACTGCTCTTGTCTTTCTATTAAAAACCAGCACTATTCCATGGTTTACACTATTAAAACATTCAGATCTCATGGCTGGGAAGGTGGCTCAATGGCAGAGCGCTTGCCTTGCATGCATGAAGCTCTGGGTTCGATTCCTCAGCACCACATAAGCAAAATGAAAAATGCCAGAAGTGGCGCAGTGGCTCAAGTGGTAGAGTGCTAGCCTTGAGCTGAAGAGCTGAGGGACAGTGTCCAGGCCCAGAGTTCAGGCCCCACGACTGGACCCCCAAAAAATAAATTCAGATCTCTGTTTAAAAAAAAAATAACAGGGGCTGGGAAGTTGGCAGTGGTAGAGTGCTTGCCTCGAATGCATGAGGCCCTGGGTTTGATTCCTCAGCACCACATAAGCAGAAAAAAGCCGAAAGTGGCGCTGTGGCTCAAGTGGTAGAGCTCTAGCCTTGAGCTGAAAAGCTGAGGGACAGTGCCCAGGCCCAGAGTTCAGCCCCCATGACTGACCAAAAAATAAATAAATAAATAATAATAATAAAAACAGAATTGTTCACATGACATTCTGGTCATTGAGACTAATAAAACTTTATCAGCTCAATCATATGGGTAGAAAATTAACACCTGAAGCATGGTTACCTTCTTTATCCTGAATTTCCATCTCATTAATGAAACTCAAGTATGTTTGGGGATTCAACTTTTTTCTTTTCCTTTTTCTGTTTTGTTGGTCATGGGGCTTGAACTCTGGGCTTGGGCACTGTCCCTCAGCACAAGGCAAGCACTCTGCCACTTGAGCCACAGTGCCACTTCCAGTTTTCTGGTGGTTTATTGGAGATAAGAGTCTCATGGACTTTCCTGCCTGGGTTGGCTTCGAACTGTGATCCTCAGGCTCCTGAGTAGCTAGGATTACAGGCGTGAGCCACTGGCACCTGGC